TACTGTCTACTAGGTCATTAGCACTTGCACAAAGCAACATCAAATTTTAAAAAGCTGATGGAACTCCATAAATTACAATATCAGTATATTTGCATGTGAAATCTAAAAAAAAATGCTGTCATCAGACTATTGAGGAGAACAAATCCTAATTGATGCTGTACTGATTTGCTGAAATGAATGTGTGGCATGTACTCATTTGAGCTGATTCATGGGAAAAATTTAAAAATCATTTCATTGCCACGGCATCCTGCGTTACACTAGATGAAAAATGATGCATGCTCGGTTCAATTATTTTGTCGTTTGTGCAACAGATTAGTTTGTACTTATAGTACCTGTTATTTTTATGAGAATTATTACATCTTACTGTGTCATTTTAATTCAGTCAGATTTCAATGTAATTATTTTGTAATTATAATTTGTATATTTTTAAAAGCAGATTTACACAGATTTTTCCTGCCATGATTTTAGTTCAATGTTTTCACCATTTTTGCTCATGTGTATTTTTATGTTATATCTTTGTTGATTTGGAACCAATTGGAGATAATTTTTCACCTCCTACAAGTCTTGCTCACACATTTGAAAAAATTTGGAAAAATTAGATAAGTTTATTTTCGGAAAGGTGACTATTAAAGTTAATTTCGGCATCTAAAGTTTATTTAAAAAAAAAATCATTCTTCATTTTTAATTGCAAAACTTAAACTGTTAAAATTAAATTAGACTTGGACATTTTTCTGGAATTGTATGTAATAAAAAATAAATCCCTACATACCGGTACTCCAGTACAGTCGCTCAAATTCTGATTCAGTCACATTAAAACTATGAGCACATGCAGAATATTAAGTGATATAAGAAAACTTGTCTGTCGGCAGATAATTGTCGCCCAAGGCAAGAAATCAACGATCTGAAATCAGTATGCTATCTGTGAAAAGGAAATTGCTTTCCATGAGACTGTTTCACTATGATGTGAATGCGATCTTTTTATTCATGAACTGATTATTTGTTTCGTATTGATCCAAAAAAATTTTTTTGTCACAACGACACTGCAGTCTTTTTTTTTTTTTTTCAAATATAATTGATCACCAGTATGGTGCCTTATACAAATGACTGAATCTGCTATCGGCAGCCATTATTACCGGCTTGATGACTGTAGGGGAAACAATTACAAATGGATTTAGGTTTAATTGGAGTCAAGTTGAAGATGTTATAATGGAAATTGGAGTACATGGTTGCTGAGTCTATGGCCTGAATGAATAATTTTAATGGATGAGTTGTGTTGAAATGGATTGGATAGGTATAATAATAATGTGTGTATGAGTACTATATTGTTAGTTGAGAGGTTGATGACAAGGAAAGAGAAAAGGGAGGGCGATGTAACTTTACAATACAGTTCTTTCCTTTAACCATTTTATCGCCATAATTTCTGCCAGTTTTTATGCATTTTTCTATATTTTTGATAATTTTGAACCAAATGAACATAATTTCCTATTGGCCGCATTAAGTCTTGATCAAAATTATGAAAAAATTATGTGAGTTTTTAATTTGGGATTGGTAATAAAAGTTGACTTCAGTGCTCAACTAAGTGTTTTTAAAAATTATTCTGCCTGTAATAAAAATATTCAGAGATTACATTATATGCAGCTGCTTCATTTAAAAATGCGATATGTTTTTTTTTATTTGTCCTGGATGCATGTACACAAGTTAACAAATCTGTAGCTCAATACATGCACTGTTTTTTATCCTGTGTATGCCTGAAGTCCCACACTTAGATTGGTGTATGTAAATTATTAAGGGTATTATTCACGTTTCCATAGCAATTTATCGAGAGTTCTTAAACATGTAACGACAGACTTAGTTTGTATACAGACTTAGTTTCAGTCAAGCATCTATTTTTGCGTTGCTTCAAATAATTTTGAAAATTAAAGTACATCACTTCTCCAAATTAATTCTGAGATAATCTTTAATGGTGTTATGGTTTTTAATTAAAATATTTGTATTTGATTTTTGCTCAATATATATAATTTTACGTGTGACAAATTTCCTATGTAGTAAATTTTTTACCATGACCTCATGAACTATTAAAATCAGCATAATTTTTTTTAGCATTTTCACAGAAATGATCAAGACCTATATACGTTATAAAGAAATTAATAAAAATATGCAGAATATAACATTAAAATTTGGACAGAAAAAACTTGTGGCGTCAAATTTAATCTTTGTGAACGACAGCAAATATCAACTCTAAAAATCAGCAACATTGAAAATTCAACAGTTTATTGACTAACCAAATATGTTATCAAATAATGAGATCAAAAGTTAGCGACGTCAGACTCGTAATTCTAAACATTCGGGTTGTATCAGATGTGCAATGATTAGTTCATCCATTCACAGCTACATGTTGATGATATTACATGATAACTCTTGACACCAGTCCTACATTAGCTTTGTAATAAATAATAAAGCTTACAATTTCACTTGATCACAGGAAAACAATACTGTTGTAAGTGCTGAAGCTGCCTCTGTAGTTACATGCCAAAGATGACAATATTTTTGGCTTGTCTGTTATGAATTTGATGGAACTAATGAACTCATACACATTCATGGGAAGATTGTTTGCCATTTATCTTATTAAGAATAGTCTGATGCAGCTATAAAACAAGGATTTCAGAAATTTTGTAAAGTTTATTCCATTTGACTAGCTATTCAAACAAAGCTATTGGTACTAGTAAAGAATTATAAACCACAGATGTATATATTTTAATAACCAGTTTTTAATTCAAATGGCTACTATATTCAAAATGGCTACCACAATACAAAATGGCCCCCCAAATTCTAAATGGCAACCACAATTCAAAATGGATACTATAATTCTAAATGGCTACCACAATACAAAATGGCCCCCAAAATTCTAAATGGCAACCCCAATTCAAAATGGCTACTATAATTCTAAATGGCTACCACAATACAAAATGGACCCCAAAATTCTAAATGGCAACCACAATTCAAAATGGCTACTATAATTCTAAATGGCTACCACAATACAAAATGGACCCCAAAATTCTAAATGGCAACCCCAATTCAAAATGGCTATTATAATTCAAAATGGTTACTACAATTCAAAATGGCTACCATAATTCTGCCTGAATGGCCGTCACAATTAAAATATGGTTAGTATTGGCTTGATAATTTTGGGTTTTGCAATATCTGGATATACATGTACAAAAGTGATTGATTATCTACTTTGCCCGCAATATGTCATACATTTCTTAAACCAATACTCCATGTTTGTCAGCATAGCAACAGCATTTTTGGGGTAGTTCTCTGTGAGGTCAAAAACAAGATAACATTTTGGGGGACTAAAAAAAGTTGCTAGTTTACTGAGAACATGCTGGTTAAACTAAGTTTAATTTTAATACATATCTTTGGCTGTTCTCTTGAAAACCAAGATATTTTATTGTTTTATTTTATGCAAATTTTTTTGGTTTTATGAACAATTTGTAAACTTTGAAACCTAACTGCTTACAGTATTTCTTTTATTTCAATTGCAGCTCCAATAGAATCCCTCTTAACCCAAAATTTCATTTATTGTATATTAATTATTAAATATGACTTATTTTGACCATAGACACACCTCTGGCATTCACATATGAGCAAATACAGTATTCATGGTGACCAGAAGTGTATCATTTTCATTGTAACTATAGCAACCAGAAAAGCCAGAACCCAACGTTTGACTTGGGGAGGGGGGCAGGGGGGTGTTACATATATCAATGAGGCAGAATATCGTATATCACTGACGCAGTCTTTGAAACAGCTCAGCATCATGGATTATACAGTACAGATAACCTTGAAAAAAAAAAACCCTTGTATCATGTTCTCTCATTCATTGTACTGTGGCTTAAAAACTCAAAACTCTAGAGAAATTCAAGAACTAACATGTTTTAAATATTCACTAATCATGCAAAGGCAGCTCCATTGCAACTCGTGTTTATTGTTGCTATGTAACATCACACACAAAGTATCAGGCAGATGGATTCAGTTGCTATAGTAACATCACCAGTGCATAAAGAAACTAAATTTCTCACAATTATCAAAGTCAATCTTTAGACTTGAGTATGATTTTGTGACAAAATTTTTGAAAAGATACAAGAATTTTGTTGTCTCTAATGCAATGCAACTAATAAGACAAATATGAATGAATATTAATAAGATTTTTAATTGTCAGTCCAATTGTGATTACCCCCCCCCCCCCCCGTAACACTGCCCCCACCATGTCCAATTAAAATTATAATTTTAATGTCTAGAACTAAATTTAATCTTGTAATTCTTTGTGAAAATTTATTAAGTCTGTCATGTTTGATAATATAATCAGTGAGGCCTGGAATGTTGTACAGCTTATCAGCACAATGATGATGTTCGCATCCGGCTCAGAATATTAAACGACAGTAAAAAAAAAAGACATAAAATCAATAAAAAATCACTGATCAAGTAATACTAACATGTTTGATTTCTTTTTTCTTTGATTTTTGTTATTGATTGATATTCAAGATCGTTATAATCGCTACCTGATTCGATTGGTTTTCAGGCTTTGCATTATTAATAGCTCTCTCTCTTTTGTTGATTCCCCCAGGTCAAAATCAAAGCTGCGAGTTTCTGATGTGGTAGGTATTAATTCTTAATCTAATACGTTTTCATGTACACCTTATCATCGGTGGACAGATACTTTAATCCACTGGTCACTTGCATGGCCACCTGTTCATTTCTGATTCAGTGGTTATGCACCTATGCCGCCTGCTGCTTTTTGATGATGATGATGTTTTTAGTGTATTCTCGTTACTGTAATCTGTAGGTTGTTATGTTCACCATATTAGCAAAGTATATTTCTATAAATGCTTGTTTTCTTTTGCTTGAAAAACTAAATATTAAAAATCTTAATTAGATGCTACACAGAAGCATTTTTTGCTTGAGCCACTCACCTTTGGCAAATTTAAAATTCAAATTGTATTTTTATTAAAATATCGGCAACTTATTCACACACATGCTTATAACAATGTACCTATTATACACCCATTATACAGGCGGCTATAGATTGTCTTAAAATTTATACTCGTTTTTTATGAAGTATTTTATGGCGTATTTTCGATTAATCATTTTTCGTTGGTCGTTTCGTATATGAACACCTGATACCCTAGTATAATCATCCAGCTTTGATAGGGATTTACTGTGTGATTTATGTTTGTTGCCACGGACGACTGATACACATCTGAATTGAAGATCAATTAATTGACATGGATGTATCTTGAACCATTGAACCCTTGAGTTGGCTGGCCACTGATTCGAATAATAATACTCGGAAGTAGCAATTGACTGAGAGATGTACATGTATGTTGAAAGTTAGGTCATCGTCTGTTATCAAATAAAACTTCTTTCCATTTGGACTCAATTGAACAAATGAAACAACATGCTCATCTAAATTTCTCCAAATTAAGGTATAGAACAGCTAAAGTAGAACATGATAAATGATCTGTCGGTCAAAATTGCTTTTTAAAAAAACTAAAACAGCTTTACTGAAATGAAATATTGAACGCCAGTTGATTCGTTATTCGCATTGTCTCCTGAACAACAGAGTAATTCATTTTTATATACTAGTTACATTCAGTGATAAATCATATGCAGATTATTCCCATCATGTGGTACCTCTCTTTTTAAAAACCTTATCAACAGCTTGTATTCATTCCAAATCACATATCCTAACTCACCTACAGAGGGCAGTAGTATCCATTGCTAACCACCACGTGGACTGGCATCACCATGGTGATACTTGTCTATTATCAACAAATAATTTGATCATTTCCGTTATTACAGTTGGCCTGACATATTTAATGATGTGCAAAAAAGTAATAATTTATGTTGTTGAACAGACTGTGGGAGATACTATTGTAAAATAGCCAGCCTGATGATTGCGAAATAGATATTTTGTTTAATAGCGTCTGCATTCAAGGCGTTTAAATATAATCTAATGTTCTGGCACCTCTCTGCCTGTCTGTATACATTTTTTTTTTTTATTTTGATCAAAATGAGATTAGATGGGACTAATTTTAGTGCCAAAGCCAACTGTTTTTTGCCACCATTGCAAAATAAATTCTACATAATTTTTTTTTTCAAACTTTTCAAAAAATGTGATTAAGACCTGTATAAACTGATATGAAAAAATGTGCATTTGATCCAAAAATATCCATTGTTTTTGTTTTTTTACTTTTGTTTGAAGCAAAATGGAAACTTGGAAGTGCATGATGAGCTTTTCGAAGATACGATTACGAGCATTGTCACCATAGACTTTGAGACACGGGATGGATCTGCAAAGAGGGACACTGAATACAAGTACACACAAGGAAAACTGGTGAGTTATGGTAGACTCATTTAAATTTTGAAGTGTTTTTTTTTAAAGTACTGTAATTGCATTAATTATTCATTTTTAATTCTGCTATTTCTTTGATAAGTAAGACCTGCTGAACTAAATGCGTGGGAACATGTGAAAAAACAATAGAACTTATTGTTTTCCTGCCAAGTTTGTGAACTTAAACCCAGTGAAATTGCTCAAAACATCAAAATCCTTTCCTTGTTTTATTACTCATTTCCATGTACTTTTTTTATTTCACCGTTTGTATCCTCAGATTGTTAAAATATTTTCTTTAAAAAAAAGCCACCCCCCCAATATTACAGCACTCTCCACACACTTCCAATTACACATCTGATTATTAATGTTATTTATTTTACCAGATCTTCAAAGAGACAGAGTGGAAAAAGACTCTTAGTGTTCCAATTGTAAACGACAATCAGTATGAGAGTGATATGGATTTTTATGTTATACTTAAAAATCCTGGTGGTGATGCTGGTCTTGGAGATCCCAGTGTTACCAGGGTAACCATTATTGATGATGATGGTAAGAACAAACATTTATTTTTGTTTCTCTCACCTCCCCACCATCTTCTTTATTCTATGACTTGTTTCACTGCAACATACACATAAATTCATAAACGGCTGTTCACTTTTTTCTGGTGCCTGCAAAAATGTTTGAAAAAGTGGGAGAAAAAAGCCAAGGAAAAAGAAAATTTTGTTCAACAGAATCATTTTTTTGGCCTTAGCATTCAGTATAATAAAATGACCAAAGAAACTTCATATCATAACTGGTTACACATATTTGTAACTTTAATACTTCATCACATGTTCTTACGAAACAAGCCTGTATGAGGAGAAGTGTTGATAATAATGACTGTAAATTGTGTTTAATATTGAAATTCATGCAGAACCAGGAGAATTTTCATTTGAAGACCCAAGCTGTCATGCTAACCTCACAGACAGTACGATTACAGTCAACGTTTTACGAAGTAAGGGCAGTGATGGTACAGTGACGATACAGTACACAACCATGTAAGTATTTGCCACTGTTGTCAGAAAACTTTTTAGTTTTTTTGTTTCATCTTTAAAGTACGACTCGACCACAACACAATTCATTGGATTATACAAGTGCATCATGGGAAATACAATTTGAAGGGCCTGTCAATTATATACTATATATAGAAAAGTTCCCAGATGTGTTAATCCTGTCTGCAAAGATCTTATGTACATCAATGTCTGCCAGTTTGGATTAACGCTTTAATTTGAATAAACCAATGATTGACAGATTCAAGTCAATGATTGACAGATTCAGATCAATGGTTGACAGATTCAGATCTGAGATTGACTGATTCAGATCAATGCTTAACAGAATCAGATCAGAGATTGACAGATTCATATCAGTTATTGACAGATTCAGATCATTGATTGACACTGATAGTTGATTGACATTAATAATGATATGATAACGTTTGTTGATTTATGTTAATGTTATGTTGACAGTGATGGATCTGCCAAGGGTGGGGATACCTTAGAAGGATACCACTACAAATCAACGTCAGGAACGCTGTGTTTCAAACATGCAGAAATGAGTAAACAGATTGTAGTAGAAGTTAATAAAAACAACAAGGTATGTTTAGAACAATTGTTTTTTTCCATTCTTGCATTGTGGAGACTTTATGGCATAGTGGTTATAACTTATTCACGGTTGTTGAATGCCATAAGTTTTCAATCATTATTGTGGAATTTACTGCTATTGGGGAAAATGATAAAAGTTATTGAAATGTTCTTGAGATTGCTCTATTAGAAACACTTCCCCATAGAAGTACATATAAATGAAAAAACTGGATCATTAAATATTACTATTGCCATAATTGCACACGTTTATTACATGAATTTTCCAAATCATGGACAAAGGTAGTACGGCGATCGTACCGACCAATGCATATTGACTGATGATAGTGATTCTGCGTCTGAAAAAAAAAAGAGTTTGAAAGAGTTTGAAATGTCATGCACAATTTCCAAATAAGGAAGAAATTTAAACTCATTCATAAACACTTTCGAACATGTATGTGCAGCGTTTTATGGATCAGTAAATTTATTGTTTTCAGTGTCCGATGTATAAATAATAATTCTTATTTTAATAGACCATAGAAACACGTCTGTAAATTACGTAAGCGTATTCACATTAATAGAGCAAATATAGAATATGTAATAATAATGAACACTTCACCAGTTTAGAACTGATTGGTGTGTACAATAGTATTATGAATGTTAAATTTGAATGTTTTTTTTTTGTTTTTTTTTTGGCAGTCCTTGAAAAATTTTGTCATAACTCTACGCAATCCTAGTCTTGGTGCTAAGATTGGTGAAAACAGTGCATGTGTAGCGAACATTGGAGGAGGTAAGGGTTGCTAGGTTACCACTTTTATATTGTTATATTGCCGCATTGCTATATTATCACATGGAGTGAAAATTTGAATTAATCGATAGAGGTCAAAAGGTTATTTTCTTTTATAATATCCTCCTGTGGCTGGAATCGTTACTATTGTGAACTATATGCGAGTGCACTATTTAATGCTTGGCCAGTTTTGTCATGTATTGCTTTCTGCTTTTCCATGCAGTCACTACCCTGTTTGTTGTCATGGTAACTAATCACTAGTTAGCAGCATATGTTTCCTGAGTTTTAATAAATATTGGTCTCCTTGGTGATTTATTGCATGTGAAGGGGGCACTGTTTAAACATTTTTGATATGAAACACATTTTTATGTAATTTATATGTAAAGTTTTCTTTTAATATTATTTTCATCAGATGATGTGCAAGACAGAATTGCTACCGTGCTAGGGAGTGAGCAAGAAGAGGATGAGTCGTGGGGAGAACAGTTCAAAAAGTGAGAACGAGTTTTTTCACAAAATATCTTTACAATAAAAAGATAATTTACAATTTTATAGGGTATACAAATCTGAACGGCTGTCTCTCTAAACAAACTCGTAAAGCAGCCATCATTTTAACATTCATCATTTCACCGTACTTGATTGGTGGATGTAACGGTAATATAGAGGGCAGTACAAAAGCGCGTCCCAGATTTGAATCTACTTTAATTCAAAAACCTGTAAACCACACACTGTATCCATGGGAAATTAAAAATAATTGTATAATAGCTCACTGTTTTTGGGTGGTTAGTGGTTATGTTAGTCTACAGGTTGAAATCAGCTGCTTGCATGGGTTTTCCATGATTAAAACATTCTCCTTCCCAGAGTTCATTGTGGTTAGATCACCGAAAGTAACACAACACACTGCCATTTTGTGGTGAAACACCACAAGACTTTTACCATGCTTATAATTTGCATATTTTTGTTAGTAGATGGCTTTCGTGTTGATTTATTCCTACTGGAAAACAAGTTTCAAAATATATTATTGATAGCTGATAAAGATTTTTCTGTAAATGCACTGTCAAGAGTGAAATAATTATAATTTACAAACAAATATAATTTCATCACGGAATATATGTTACTATAAAGGTGTTACTCGGTTCACCAAACTGATCGTCCTGTCGATTGCAAGATGAAGGAATATAAAGAAACGAAAGCATTTAGGGTTATTGATGGCTAAATTGTCCTACTGTCACACCGTTTGTTCTACGAAAAATAAAAAAATGAGTTTCTCACTTTGAAAGCTGCCAGAATCTACAAACAACGTGTACGCTTTCGTTGGGTTTGAAAATCAAACACCTGCATGGCAATGTTTTGTTGGACGTCTTTGAAAGTAGTACCACTGTGATGCATTGACCAATCAACGACAAGCATGGTGGCAGAGATATATTTGTAGAAATAGAACTCTGCCTAGGAGATTGTCTTTCCAGGTGTCTCAGTATTATACCAATATACCTAAGTTTCCCATTATTATACCAGCCACAAAGTCTTTCCATATTATACCAGTCTCCCTGCAAGTTCTATTATTATATCAGCAAGTCTCCCTAAGTTCCTTATTATTATACCAGTCAGTCTCTCTATGTTTTCCATTGATGTATTATTGTATTTCATAGTGAATGTATATTTTCCTATTTCCTGACTTCGATAAGAAAAATGTTATATACAATGATTTTGTATTTGTTTGCAGTGCAATGACTGTTGGTGGCGATAAGGACGAAGATGGCAACGAAATTCCGCCTTCCAGAGCAGACTACATTTTACACCTTATTACATTTTTCTGGAAATTGGTTTTTGCATTTATACCTCCAAGGTAGTTTCAATATTTTATTTTTTATCATTTTTATCAACAGATGGTCTTCTGCCAGAAATGTAATGCATATGTGTCCCGTTGTTTTCGAATTAGTATACTTTGCATTGATATAATTCTTGACAGCAAATTCACATATCTGAAAGTACCAGGATGTGTGACCTTCAGGCTAGAGATCATGCATAGAGATTGTTGTGATAGATAAAATATGAAACATATACTGTTACTTTCTATTTTTCAGGAAGATTTGGAGTGGGTGGCCAACGTTCTGTATATCAATCCTCATGATAGCAGCTCTCACAGTCTTGATGGAACAGGTGGGTTTTATATCAAACTTTGGTGTAATAATTAGAAATCGTCAGTCAAAAAATTGAGTTTGTAGTTTTGGCCATTTTTTACTGCTAACATTTTTCTGCATTTTCATATATTTTACTATAAAATCTTCGTTAATTTTAGATAAAATGAACATCATTTCCATTACCTACAGGACCAAATATTGTATTGATCCAAATATTGTAAAATATGAAAAACGTTTGGCAGGTTTATGTTGTGAATGTTTTCATTCAACATAGAAAGGTTAAAGTTCCACAGAAAATGTTAACAAAAATTTCATTTTTTTGTATCACAAACTAGTAGCAATGTCAGATTTAAAGAAATTTTAAGGTGTCTCAAAAATTTGCAGTTTTGATATGTGAAAGTTGACTCAGGCATTAGAAGTGTTTCACCCTTCAGTGAAAATAAAGTATTCTATGGTATGATAAAATTCATTTGTAATTTGCTGAGGACTTTCACACAAATTTCATTTCTGTTTCCTTATTTTATTTTAGCTGGGACACCTGTTCGGTTGTGTTGCTGGATTAAAGATCAGTATCACCGGCATCACAGTGGTCGCACTGGGTACGAGTGTGCCAGACACCTTTGCCAGCAGAACGGCCGCCGTGCAAGACCAATATGCTGATGCCTCTATTGGCAACATAACAGGTGAATTAACTTAGTTATGTACATACAACTACATCAAAACTGAAAATTTCCTCAGGACCAAATATTAATTGAGACATTGTTAAAAAGATTGATTGTTTTCTGTTTGTTTTTCCAGGCCATATTTCTGCTGATAAATGAACACTGTGTCGTGATCTCATTAAAATTTAAAATTTAATATTAGTAATTATACTGTTATTTTATGAAATTAACATTAATCTCAAATGCAAACAGTGATTAGGCCAGCCACATAAAAATTGTTGTAGAACAGCTTTTTTTTTTCAATTATAAAAACTTTAATAATAAAAAAACAAAGCTGTGTATTTAAAGGAGACTTGAGATTTGGAGTTGATTTGCTTCAGGCAGTTCAAGCTGAACTCAAGGTTGCGTTTACTAAGCGTTAAAACAGTTTAAGACAAGTTTAAGGTTATACATCATCTTCGTCATGCATTATTACTGCATTATTTAATCTCATTAGGAAACAAACAAATCTATGGTCAAGGAATAATCTGAAATGTCATGAAAAATAGGCAAAATTTTATTACTGAAAGTGTGAAGAAAATGGCTTGTAATTTTCCATTTCATTGTACCTTCTCAACAAAATGGAGAAAATGTATATTATTTCCTCGTCTAAAGAGCTCACTATAAATTGAGTTGATAAGTTTCTGAATTTGTTTGATTCGGATCCGACAAAATATCAGTAATGAAATTGCAGAATTGGGCATGTGTAACAACACTTTTGCTTGACATGGCCTAATCTATAGTCATCCCTTAATAATATTGAGAAACTGGACAGTAATTATGAAAATTGAAGTTATAAATATACACCTTAAATGAAGTTTTGGCCTATCTTCATACCCAAGTGTGTCATATATATCTCAACATACATTAATCAGACTCCCTATGCAATTAGACAAAGACACGTATAGAAAGTGTCGACCTGTCCTGGGTATTAGATTTCTTTCTTTAATTTGATAACTTGAAAACACAAATCAATTTCTTGTTTTTGGATATTTTGTTAAATACTTGAAAAGAAATGACGCGACTGTCTGAATGAGCTTTGTGAACTTTTTATTTTTAAACAACAAATGAAAATTCAGATTTTAGAAATTCTGTCTAGACAAAATTAATATGTATCTACATTTTTCTTTCTATAGGAAGCAACAGTGTGAATGTGTTTTTAGGGCTTGGACTCCCATGGGTCATTAGTGTTATGTATCGTTATTTCCACAATAAGACTCTTCAGATTGCTACAGAAAACCTCGACCTAGCAGTTACTGTATTTACATCCGTTGGTGGTGCCTGCCTCATTATTCTAATTGTGCGCCGAAAAGTAAGTACCGTAACTATTGTGAACAGCGCACCCTCAAGTATCACATTTTGAATTTCCTTTAACAATGTCAATGTCTTTTCTTTTGTTCATTGTCAATTCCATATTGAAGTTGAAGCCTTCAGGAAAGACTGCCCTCAACAAGTAAACTACATTTTGTAACTCCTGTTGTTTTTATGATTGCTTTGTTACAGTTGGTTGGCGGTGAGCTGGGAGGTCCGAAACTCAGCAAGTGGCTCTCTGGTATTTTGTTGGTTATGCTTTGGATAGTGTACATTATCATCTGTACTTTACGTGCATATGGCTACATATAAATACTTGCAATGTTTAGGTTTTCTTTTCAAATATACAGCTTTAAACGTTTTTCTACCATACTTCTGCTCTTCCTATGGTCATTGTAGTTAAGATGTGGCCACCAGAGGGCAGCATTCAAGTCTAGCTGCATGCTAGACTAGATGCTGTCTATTATCGTGAGACTTTGAAAAATCTACTAATAATGGATGAGTGAATCGGTCTGAAGGGCTGTGGGCTAGCTTTACGTACGTGCGTGTCTGTCTGCCCAAGAGAGTTACCATGGTAGCTAATCGGTGATGAGACAGAATTCAATGTCATCTATGTGTTTATGTAGCGATACACAAGAGCATTGAGTGCACTGGGAGAGGGGCACTCTGAATGGCTGAATTCCAGGCTGGCTGTATGCTTTTGTTTTTGGCATACAAGAGACCGTACATCAAAATACTATTTCACATACCGCATAGCATATAAAGATTATAATCAACAACAAACACTGATGTGCACCAAATTCGTTTTTGACATAGTCTTCAGGTTCACCATATATGGTATGGAGTCAAACCTGTGTATAGTGACCGCCAAAAGAGTCTTCTTTAATATAGATGGGTGGTCTTTATATGGAGGCTGGATTATTTTTTTTATGAATTGTCAACTCGTACATTTTTCTAGCAAATAATGAGATGGTACTGTCACAACAAAAACACATAATTGAGTTGATCAAAATCAAATAAGTTTTGACTTGAGGAAATTAAAAAAATTGTAAAAACTATTTTTTTTGGTCTCTTAAACAAAAGTGAATTTGCAAAAATTATCCTGAAAGGGTGGTCACTATAGACAGGTGGTCTTTATACACAGGTTGCTCAAATGTTATGCCTTGACTGCTTAAAAGTGTTCATTAACATGAGATTTACTGTGAATGCTAAAAATTACCATTTTCAGATGATATGCACAATTTAGATACCATGTGGGCAAGGAACACTAACATTTTTAAATACTTCAAGTATCTCGTCATAAGTTTGTTGATTTTACTGAAGTTTTAAATAGCACACACTTGTTATTGCATTCTTCTAAGCAAAGATGTCTTTGACAAAAAAATTATTAAATAATATAATAAATAAATCACGAATAAATTTTCTGCAATTTTTAAGAATTTCAGGAGGTCAAAAAAGAAAACTTTCTCGTCTTTGATTCCATCCCAGATTTTTTTCAAATCTAATAATAAATCATGTGTGTAAATATACTTATAGTTGTAAATATTATTAAATATTTTATTTATTGATTTATATCTTGTATATTATAGGAAAAACTGGATCTGTTCTCAACCAATGCTTTGTAATTTTACTGATCTTGGTTTTTAAAAATTCAGAATTTTTTTTTGAGGGGTAATTTGTAAATTTTGCTTTTACTTCCAATTTTTATCAGGATTTGTTTTCAGAATGTGTGCACTTTTCAGGTTGTCCTTCTTTTCAAGATTGTATTTACATGAGTGAAGAATATTCACATCAACGGTTGGCAGTAAGAAGTAATTTGAATATCTAAGAATTTGGAGTGTGATTGGTCAATTTTTATTATCTAATATTGATAATGTGTATGCATAAATTTTTGATAATTATGGTATAGTACAGCGTTACAAAGTTTTTTTTGTCAATGAAATTATTTTTTGAGTCTGCGCCTCTTTTTTTGAAACAATTTTGGATACTATAAACTTACATCATTTGGAAACAGATTGCAAACTGCCATCAATTTTGAATAGTGTCCTGAATGTTTCGAATCCTACCTCTTTTCAGGTTTTTATTGAACGCAATTATTAAAAATCTGAATTCAGAATTTTGCGGGCACAGAGATATTCAAATTTCTTTCAAAATTGAAAAAAAAAAGGTTGTAATGCACATATCATAGAACTTTTCCTCGACTCTTTCCTTATTTCACAGCATTCATTAGATATAGTATATTGCATGCTTTATACAAGAACCTTGAACTAGTCTTGCAGTTTTCTTGGTGAATGTAATTCTTCCTTCAAGTGGACTGATCCACCCTCTGTACAAATGGTTTCAACCATTATCAATGAGGGAGGCTACATTTTTACTCATCATTTTTTTTAATTTTAACTCATTTTCACAATAAACATCCTTGAGTCGGTTGTCGCATTGTGTTCGATACAAGTCCCATACGACATATACTAACTGTGCAATGACTGGTGCTTTCTCTTGATCCATTTTATTTCCTTTATAGTAAACTGTCTTAATCCATTCATTCCAAGCATACATGTACAATTCATGTTCCAGTTGAAATGAGGCTATATATACATGTTCTAGGGCCAGCCCATCATTTACATGTGTTGTTGCTTCAGTGGGGATGAAGAAAAGGTTCATGGGCATTTTTATTATGGAGATGAGGGAAAGAATCTTTTTCTTATAATCATCAAAAGTGCTGAATGGTAACGTCAACATAATAAATATCAGAACTTTTCTCATTTCCAAGACATTGTGTTGTCCACAAACACAGCTGGTCTGTCTATATTTATTTTCATCTTCCTAGTTTTTCTGATATTAATGTAATTACAGCAAATTTACATTGCAAAATTTGCCAAAATTCAATAAAATATTCTGCTTTTTCTAACAAATTATTTGTATGGTATTTTATTTCTGCCATTTCTTGGTTCCACTCATAGTATTTTCTCACGTTGTGTGTGCTGTAATAAAAACCCAGTAATGTAACACAAAATCTGAAATTTAACTATAGTGTAATATTTCTTAACACAATTTTGATGAAATTTAGACGAAAGAAAATTATGTATATTTAATTTTAAAACAAGCAGCCTGTCGGCGGAGATAGCTCCGTTGTTAGCGCAATGCACATTTCAATTAGATAATTGAAGATATCACCACGAAATTAACAAATCTGAGAGAGGTCCACATGTAGTACTTATATATGTAATATAAAAGCAATCGGACTTGTGTTTTTAACAAGAAGTCGATCATATCACTTTTTCCCAAAAATGACAAAAATATTCACCAAAATTACCGAACTAG